ATTTTTATATTAAATAACCAAAAATGTGAGTTAGCGAAGAGAATTAAATTAGTTTTTATTATTCTATATTGGTCAGTTTATTATTTTATATATTTATAATGGTATACTCTATTTCGAGTCGATTTTATTTGTGTGTTATTAATTAATTAATTGTTTTTTATTCGAATTAAAATGAGAAAAATTAACAGCATCACGCATTTGCAAGTTTAGTATACGAAACGTTCTGCTCGCTTTATATAATAGATTTCAACATTGAGTACGACATTCATGTACATTTTGAACACGTCATTAGGAGATGAAACGAAAGAGCTTTTGACTACAGTGAAGAGAAATTGAATAGTTTTATGTTTATTTAACTGTTTGATAAATTTTCAAACATTAAAATTAATTACAATGATAAATTAATGATTAAATTTTTAATGTAAACAATACTTTCTCATCATATGAAAATTTCTAATTTATTTTAGATGCATTTTTCTATACTTTCCATAAATACGAATACAAATAAACGTTAACTAAACTTTCGTCAAATAAATGTTTTCCGTAATTGCATTTCAGTATTTGAAATTTAAAATTTTCTCTTCTCTATAATATTTATTCTGCTGTTGAAGTTTTATGAATTAATTTAAAACTATTAAAATAATTCGTATATTCTTTCTTGAAAAACTTAAATATAATTTGTAAATATAACGAAATCTCTGCAATTATTAATGACTTTTGGCTGCTTCTATCGGCCACCAGAACGGTTTTCTCGTTTCCAATTTTATGTTCAAATCCTTCAATACCAAATATTTCGCCGCCAAACTCTCAGCAATCCTCAATAATGCTAATCCGTATCTTCCTTTACCTTTCCTAAATCTTCCCACATTTTCATTTTTGTCGTTATGAATTATACAGTTTTCTGGAATCTCTTTTTCTTCTACTTCTAGTCGAATTGGCATCAATCTTTTTCTAACAACTCCCGTATGATGAATTCTAGCAGTGAGCTCCTGACCTATATAACAGCCTTTGTGAAAGCTGATTCCATGAAGATAATCCAAATTACATTCCAAAGGAAAGCACTTGCCCGGAGGATGATCTGCTATGCCTTCTCCTATTCCTAGCCTGTACCGTAACTCTTCGTATGAATCTTCTATTTCCTTTTCTGAAGTCAGTTTGGGCAGCGAATTGGCTGGTAAAACAATTCGATAACCTAATCCAACATGGCGAGGATCTTCTAAGATCATTGTTGCCTTTAAATTTTTAGCTAGCTGGTCACTACATCGCATTGTAGGCGAGACATCAAGAGAATCCCATGGTAACGGAGAGAAAGCGGACCAGACCATCTTATCAGAAACAGGAAGAATTTCAACCTTTTTTCTAACTTTATACAACTGAAGATGCCGGATCAGTTCAGAAACAACCGTCGTATCACATTCAAGAAGAAATTCTTCTGATGGAGAGGAAGAAATCTTGTAGAGAATGGTGTCGTAAAGAACACGTCCTTGCTGATTCAGAAACATAGCGAACATACAAGAATGGGAACGATGAAGAAAATGGCCAATATCATTGGTGATTAATCCTTGAAGATACGCAGAAGTATCTGGACCCGAAAGCTGTATTAATGATCTATTTTTCAAACACTCGATCTTCAATGTAGATAATGACGTGTATTTTTTTTCCAGCCGTAATTGAGAGAAAAGGTTTGTGAGACCATGATATACGTTTCTGGTTTTCCAGATATGTAGCTTCAATAATTTATTACTCTAAAAAGAAAAACAATTTGTAACATCTTGTATGGTAAAGTAAAAGTAAGCTAAACAAGATATAATTCACATCTATTAATTAAATATGATCTTAAATAGCTATTTTGTTATGCGAATATTCTTTTTTTAGCATTAATACATTAATTCAGTTATTTTTAAATTTAATTATGAAAACTAATAAAAAATTGATTGGTTTTACATTATTGTAATATGAAAAAAATTGGCGAATTGGTGCCCGATGTGGCTACATCCCTGCATTGGAGGAAGCGACACGATCGTTTTATTTTCTATCAAAAATAAAAAAAAAAAAAAAAAAAAAAAGCTTGAAAACAGGTCGACGACATTATGAAAGTATAATTGAAAACACTATAAACTTGGGTATTGGTGATCGTGTCGTATAGTGGCAGCCTGCTATGCGGGTGGCCCGGTGCAATATAACGTTCTCGACGAGAACAATATAGAATAATAATACAAATTAAATACAGGTAAATCCTAAATCGTTGTCATTTCATTTTGAGTTTGGCTTTTTTATTTAAATTAACTTAATTTAAAATATATTCTCTCCACCTTAAATAGCAACGTGCCCCTGTACATGATACTTTTCCTTTAACAATAGAGTCGTGCCGGTCATCTATTAACTGTTTTCAGAAAATTTTTGAATTGGAACAACACGACTTCCGGTTTCTATCGGAAGTTGGTATACAGTTAATAAGGGCCTTCTGTCCCTAAATTTTCCATATGTAGTCTTATCTTTCATCTATCTAACTTTGTTCTAGAGATTAAGGAAAGATGGACGGACGAACAACAGTGGAAATTTATAGGTCTACAATTTTTTCAAATTGAAGTCCAATTAATACAATGACATTTTCCTATTATTTTTATATTAAATAACCAAAAATGTGAGTTAGCGAAGAGAATTAAATTAGTTTTTATTATTCTATATTGGTCAGTTTATTATTTTATATATTTATAATGGTATACTCTATTTCGAGTCGATTTTATTTGTGTGTTATTAATTAATTAATTGTTTTTTATTCGAATTAAAATGAGAAAAATTAACAGCATCACGCATTTGCAAGTTTAGTATACGAAACGTTCTGCTCGCTTTATATAATAGATTTCAACATTGAGTACGACATTCATGTACATTTTGAACACGTCATTAGGAGATGAAACGAAAGAGCTTTTGACTACAGTGAAGAGAAATTGAATAGTTTTATGTTTATTTAACTGTTTGATAAATTTTCAAACATTAAAATTAATTACAATGATAAATTAATGATTAAATTTTTAATGTAAACAATACTTTCTCATCATATGAAAATTTCTAATTTATTTTAGATGCATTTTTCTATACTTTCCATAAATACGAATACAAATAAACGTTAACTAAACTTTCGTCAAATAAATGTTTTCCGTAATTGCATTTCAGTATTTGAAATTTAAAATTTTCTCTTCTCTATAATATTTATTCTGCTGTTGAAGTTTTATGAATTAATTTAAAACTATTAAAATAATTCGTATATTCTTTCTTGAAAAACTTAAATATAATTTGTAAATATAACGAAATCTCTGCAATTATTAATGACTTTTGGCTGCTTCTATCGGCCACCAGAACGGTTTTCTCGTTTCCAATTTTATGTTCAAATCCTTCAATACCAAATATTTCGCCGCCAAACTCTCAGCAATCCTCAATAATGCTAATCCGTATCTTCCTTTACCTTTCCTAAATCTTCCCACATTTTCATTTTTGTCGTTATGAATTATACAGTTTTCTGGAATCTCTTTTTCTTCTACTTCTAGTCGAATTGGCATCAATCTTTTTCTAACAACTCCCGTATGATGAATTCTAGCAGTGAGCTCCTGACCTATATAACAGCCTTTGTGAAAGCTGATTCCATGAAGATAATCCAAATTACATTCCAAAGGAAAGCACTTGCCCGGAGGATGATCTGCTATGCCTTCTCCTATTCCTAGCCTGTACCGTAACTCTTCGTATGAATCTTCTATTTCCTTTTCTGAAGTCAGTTTGGGCAGCGAATTGGCTGGTAAAACAATTCGATAACCTAATCCAACATGGCGAGGATCTTCTAAGATCATTGTTGCCTTTAAATTTTTAGCTAGCTGGTCACTACATCGCATTGTAGGCGAGACATCAAGAGAATCCCATGGTAACGGAGAGAAAGCGGACCAGACCATCTTATCAGAAACAGGAAGAATTTCAACCTTTTTTCTAACTTTATACAACTGAAGATGCCGGATCAGTTCAGAAACAACCGTCGTATCACATTCAAGAAGAAATTCTTCTGATGGAGAGGAAGAAATCTTGTAGAGAATGGTGTCGTAAAGAACACGTCCTTGCTGATTCAGAAACATAGCGAACATACAAGAATGGGAACGATGAAGAAAATGGCCAATATCATTGGTGATTAATCCTTGAAGATACGCAGAAGTATCTGGACCCGAAAGCTGTATTAATGATCTATTTTTCAAACACTCGATCTTCAATGTAGATAATGACGTGTATTTTTTTTCCAGCCGTAATTGAGAGAAAAGGTTTGTGAGACCATGATATACGTTTCTGGTTTTCCAGATATGTAGCTTCAATAATTTATTACTCTAAAAAGAAAAACAATTTGTAACATCTTGTATGGTAAAGTAAAAGTAAGCTAAACAAGATATAATTCACATCTATTAATTAAATATGATCTTAAATAGCTATTTTGTTATGCGAATATTCTTTTTTTAGCATTAATACATTAATTCAGTTATTTTTAAATTTAATTATGAAAACTAATAAAAAATTGATTGGTTTTACATTATTGTTCATTAGCGCACAATTTATAACATCTTCAATTGCAAATCAAATCTTCGTTAATATTTGTAACATTACGATTAGAAGTTTTTTAATGTTATTTATTAAGCTTTTTAAATCATGTATAATTTTCTTAGTTTGATTTTAGTAATTTTATACATTAAAACATTTTCGTTAAAACATGAGGGAAATTTTTACGTAAAAGAGGTGGCAACATGTTCATATTATCATCGTGTTAGCATCGTTTATATTCTTATCTTTTTAGAAGCTAACAAAATAATAAAAGATCAATATACATTCTAAAATAGAATAATATTTTAATAAAATTATTCCTTCCCTTTTAGTTTAAGATTTCTGTATTTACTTACAACATGCGAGATGGAAATTGCCATTTTCAATAGTAGCCTAAGCGTTAACAGCCATCTTGTTCTGACGCAAACGATAATAATAATCGCTCATAAAATATCGAATAACGTTATACCGCCCAAAAATTACCCACCGAATAGGGATTTTTCCCTTCGCTCTCTATTCTCTGAATAGTATTTTCGTAGTATCTATCGTTATTTATATTATAAATTTATTATATTGTGGTAAAAGATGCCCCTCTTAATATCGATAAGCAAAATAATAGTAGCTTTAGCTGCTTTATCTATTACGGGGCTTACATTTATTCGTTTAATATCTTTTCTTTCTCAGCAACGAACATTCAATGAGCTCCCGTTGACAAGTGAGTTTTTTTTCTTCTCCTCCCTCTAATATACATTATTAGTAAACTAGCTTCTAGTCTAATTCAAATAGAGAAATAGAGGGATTATTTTGATGATGTCACACTATTATGACCAATGACGATAAGCCAATAGGGTGTGATTCCAAATCAAAAGGATGATAGAAAATATTAAATTAATTAATGCATTTTGTTTTTTTTTTTCTTTTTAGTTTTATTTTAATTGAAGAAATGTTTTAATATATAATAAAAGAGATAATAATAATAATTATTATTATTATTATTTTAATCAATACTTGTTATACTTATAAATGTTTAGGTAACTGAATGGATTGCATATTTGCATGATAAGTAAGAAAATGTAATGAAAATGATACACTACTGATGTGCCAAAATTAATGTCTGTTTTAAATCTATCTGTGCAAAAAGTTAGCTTTAAATAGTTAATTTGGATAAATATTACAATGGCAGTTAATTATGAATTTTAGATAAATTACTGATGAGAACTGTAATTATTGAATGAAATATTACCTTAAAAATCATTAGATGAATTTCACTTTAAAAATACTTTTACGAATTTTGAAAGAAAAGATGACAATATTCTTATTTCATCGAAACCATATCTTTTACACCTTTCCAGCTTGGGTTTATTTAAGATAAACAAACAAATGCTTTCAGTCTTCAGGTTTATGAATAAACTGTGAATAGACAATAAACCGAATAAATGAATAAACAATAAACCAAGTTTTAACTTATATAAATATAAATATGAACATCTGAAGAACACAATGTATTGATAATCAACCAACTGTCAGCCAAATTAATCAGGCACTATTACGCTACAATTAATAATTAGAAGTATCACATAATTTCTAATTATTAATTGAAGTGTAATATTGCCTGTTTAACTTTTTTTAAAGAAGATGCAATGAAAACATTTCATCATCTGGCATTATTGCATAAAATTTAAAATACTTCATTTATTATATATTATATATAGTTTATAAAAATGATAAAATAGTTTTATCATTTTTATAAAATTATAGTTGTTATTAATTTAACAGTTTTTATACTCTTCAACCTGAAAATACAAATAAGTATATGCAGCTGGAAATGTGATCATTTTATATTCATATTGCTGATTTCAATAAGCTCTTATAATAATCATTACTGTATTGAGATATGACTTTTAGTAAAAGACAATGACTATATAAAGATAAAATAAATGCTTTACTTCCATCCAAACTCATCATTTTACCAATGCATATTAACCATTTACCAAAATATAAAAACATCAGAAAAATTTAATACTAAAATTAATTTGTTAGATCTTTTATTTCATAAAAGTTTTGTTTTTAATTTAAAACCAGTATTCACACATTTATTTATTTTATTTCTTATTTATTTCAAGATCCTTATTTAGCTCTCCTAATTGATGGAAGTTGCCTTGTGTTGTTCATCATACAACATAGCTTTATGAAAACATCAGCTGTTACTAACATTATAAAGAAAATTGGCTTTGAAACTTTTCAAAGAACAATATATGTGGTTTTCACTGCCTTAACTTTGCAGGTATTTAATTTCATATTTTTATTTCTTTTATTTATAATTTTGTTTATAATTTTTTAATCAAATTTGTTAAGTTTTAGCAAAGGAAAGTACAGTTATGATTAGGATTCTGCCAAAACTTCATCACAGACTGGTGCTCATTCATTATGAGATATAATTACAGACATGATATGTATAAAAGTTTTTAAAAAGATATACAGTTATGCATCACTTAATGATGGTGATATATTCTGAGACATATCTTGTTAAGCAACTTCATCATTAAATGAACATCATGGGAGTTTGTGAGCATTGATCCATATGGGATGGAGGAGTCACATCTCTGTAATATTTTTCATCCAGTAAATTGTCCTCCTCCCAACATATTTTTAGTTTGTATCATACTACAAAATTAAAAGTAGAAATGCATACTGTACACAACAAAAAGCACATTATTTTGTATGTATATCCACTCAAAACCCTACAATAAAAAATTTTTCTTACTCATTTCTTTTGGCTGATCCCCCATCGACTCCAATGATAGAGTGAACTTAGAAAAATCTATATGATAAAGTCTACTATTCATATAAACTTTATGTAACATAATGATTATGAGCAAAATCATGTTGTAGGAATACCTATATTTTATGATACATTTAGAATCAAACATATAAATTAATAAGGAAAAAAGAGAATGGGAAAGATGGGAGAAAGTAGATTTATCATTGAAGATTAACTTGTTTTTAGTAGAGAACTGAAAAAAGAAAATAATATATAAACAAGCATTTAACAAGCATTATGATAAAATTTCTTTGAACACCAATATGGTAATATTAATGCTAATAACATTGTTATTAAAACCTGATAATTTGGATAACAGTGAATTTCTCAAAATTACTGGTAAATCTGGTAAAAAAAAAATTACTGGTATTTAATAATTCAAGTAATATTACTTTGTGAGTAATCTAGCAAGATCAATTGACAAGAATCAGTTAGTTTATTACTTTGCAACATTTTCTAATAATGAGAAAAATTATTAAAATTATAGCCAAATTTTTTAAAAGTATTTTTCAAAGTTCAATTAAGTACCAGTAATATAATATAAATGAAAAAAGCTCCAGTGAAACAATTTATGAAATTTTCCTTACATAAAGAAAGTAAATCTGTAGCATTGTCAATGAAAGAATAATCAGTATTTAACTTATTTGAGTTTATTTATCTTTTGACTCTTTATGTAAATTTAAAATTTGAAAACAATGGTTTAAAGAACTCCTAAGTAGATGAAGGCTTTCAAGATTTCTTTTAGCTCAGATTCCTATTTTATTATTTAAACAAACTTACTTGAAATATCAATTTATTAAATGAACAAAATGTTCATTTAATGAATTTGATCATTTTGATTTTAATTTTGTGCAGAGAAAAATATGAAAAATGTTTATCCATTAGCAGATTTAGGACATTTAAATGATTAGATTAAGTTTCAGATTAAGTTAATGTAATTTTTTATTATTTTAAAATCTGATTTTATTTGTAATTAATTAATGTATAAATAATGTAGACAATTTTGCTTTCGTAAATATAGATATTTTACAGTGGCATGCCGTGACATTTGATGATAGGGAAGCTGTGTTTTTGTAAGAAGCCGACTTTCAGGGGCATGATTGCCCCTGGAATGTATTTTTAAATGTATTTTTAATAGATTATTTATCTGACGTAATTAATAAATAAACAAGTTCAATATAATTACCTCTGTTATTAGATTCAATAGATTCCCTATGCCCTCTAAATGCCAATTCTTGCTTTGATAAAAACATATAACATCTATTAATTAAAAATATCTATTAGCTGTAACTATCTTGTTATAATTTTAAATATTTATTTTATATTATTTACTAATGTTAAATTCTATTTTGCTTTGATTTCCAAATTCTTTCAAATATGAAAGAATCAACAATTTTTCGTGTCTTTTGCCAGCTAAATTGTCAAAGCCATTCTTATTCCACATACTAATTTCATTTGAAAATAGTAGGCAAGCCAACAAAACAATTTTTGCATTTTTATGGATTTATAGAGCCATTTTATCGTGAAGATGTCAAACAAATTTTTTTATTGAAGTGTTTATATTTAACTTAGGCATTGGCCTTTCTCTTTTAATAATGTTTTCTTTTTCATTATATGATCTCGAGCCAAAACTTTTTTAAAATAAATTTTCAATATCGCAATTACATTCCGAATCGCTAGCCATAATATAAGGGCTAAAATTAAAAATAAAATTATAAAAACTTACTTGGTGAAATAAAATGTGTGGTGGATATACATACCTGGTACAAAATATTTTTCAATTGTATGAATCTACTTTTAAAGAAAATTATAATTAAATATAGCTTTGTAATGAAACGTACATAAAAATAACATAAAATAGTCTTTACTCTTTAAATCTTAACCACTTAGTCAAATAGCTCCCTACGAGTGGAATCAGAGATGGTCCTGCTAGGTGTGTGGTGCTTACATGCACGCAGGCTGCCAAATCCCGAGGGTGCTGATACCGGTTAATGTCAAATGCCTCTTTTGTCACATCACTAGCGTATCTCAAAGGATGCGACAGGGTTGTTGTAAATTTTAAACATTTCTCACCATAGCTGTAAAACTCTAAATATGTTAAACTTAATAGTCATTTGTTTTCTAACTAATTCGTTTTAGGACCAGGTGTCCACGGAAATTTTCAAAATTAACAACTTTTTGGTCACTCTTGTTGAACTGGAAAAATGTCTGTCTTTATTACATCTAATATTACAAAGAAATCAGTTCCAACTGTACTTGGCTATAGATTGGGTCAGTTAAGCTTTTAAGTAATATTCCGGCTCTTTCAGCAGGGTTTTATTTATGTCCCTAATTCCCTAATCTCTTAATTATTTAACTACTAAAGTAGAAATAAGTTGAAACTGATTATTTTGTACTTGACTATTTGTAGTCTTGGGTAAGAAGTGGAAAGACAAATTTTTATGACAATGGATACATAAACCATAAATTTAAGGAAAATAAATTCTAGAGCTTTTTCTGTACCTTGTGCATCTCTCTTATTCATTAAATTTAGTTGTAAATGATGCTACCAAAGTAACAGTTAATTTTTTAACATTGTACAAGAATTGTACATGTTTTTTTCTACATCCCCTTAAAGATGGGACATACAAAATCATAATATCACTGGTTTAATATTGAAATCCGTAAGTAATATAAGATGGGAGAGCAGAATAAAAGCAGAATAAATATATCAAATATTTTAATGGATTTTTTTAAACTTCTGTCAACCATACAGAACTATCATAAAAACATACCAGTAAATTCTTATCTGTTGGGTTAAGTTATAAATCTTCTGATGATTCGCACAATGGGGTAAGGGCAGCCAAATATCTAGCGGGCAGGCAGCTAACAGCCCAGAACTGGTCCAGGATAGAATTGGAAGCATTATATGTGTAGCATCCACCCAAGGTCCTAGGTTTCCACCAATCAATCAATCAATCAATCATTGCTTTATTAGTACAAATTTGTACATACCTGGCTCCGCTTTTATAGCATTACCAGGTGAAATCATATACAGTATACAATTACAATTATTTCAATTATTATAATAATTGAGTATATTAATAAGAAGTATGATAATTAAAGTTATACAAAATGAATAGTTTGTTTTGGAATATTTAGAATAGAATAATTTAATGACAACAAAATGAACAAAGTCATACTGATAACTAGTTAACAAAAATAATTATTATTAAATGTAATTGAGTTTATATGAAAATAAACTCACAATTGTTACACTGAAAGTTCACAAAAATGGATCTTAAGTGTAACAATAAAGTTAAGGTTTGTAGAGACACAAACTCTCTGAATATCTTTTCAGTCTATCACTGCATGTATGACCACCAGCAGACAACATAAGTCTTTGCACAGTTTATTTCCACAAAGTCCACTCTCCACAGTAAGATGAAGAAAAGAATAGTATGTATCTAGTAGTTGAAATTCATCAATCACACTCCTCACATATGTTCTTCATAAATATTTAACAATGGCTACACATGTTATTCAAACTTCAGGTTTTGCAGTAGTATGATCAGAGTGTTTGATACTGAATAATATGCTTATGTACAAATTAACTGTATATAGTAATATAATATACAAGATATATATACAGTGTAGGCCATTCAATCATAGCTAAAAGTGGTAATATTAGAATACTTATAGGTCTTCTTCACAAATTAAATAATTAGGTATAATAGATATACCTTTACAATTTGTAAATATATATATGTATACAATATAGTCTAAACTAAACCATATACACTAATGTTAATTAGATTAGAGTTATGTAAAAGTTTTTGTACACAAACAAATACGTCTAGGTATAATAAATATACCTTTACAGTTGGTAATGATAATAAAATTTTCATAAAACTATTTTAGAAATCAAAGCATAATTATTATAAATGGCAAATTTACATCTAGTAACAAATAATTATGAAAGAGATTAACCTAACAGAATTGAATATAGTACCATTAATTAATCAAGGTAAATTAATTATATATGGTTTGATGCGTAATGTAATTCACACATTTAGCAAGCCTGAGAAAATCATCATATACCTCTCGGCTAGTCCAGATATCATTAAGTTGACATGGCCAATTTATCCCTAATTTTCCTAGTAGTAGCTTTATTTCCAACCTTTCTTGCTCAAAAATCATACAATCATAAAAATGGTGTCTTGATCCATCTTCAACAAGACATGTAGGACATTGGTTAGAGACTCTGTTAGTGAATCTTGCTAGATGTGTAGCAAACTTTCTGTGATTTGTGAGCATTTGTGTTACATAATAATTAGGATAGAACCAGTTTAATTTAATAAAGATTTTAAGGTCTGGGATATATTCATAAGTAATGTGTTGCCTATTGTTGTTCCAGATGTTTTGCCATGTATCAAGTGTATCCTCCCATAACAGGTAACGAAGAGTATGTTGGCTGATTTTGTTATATTCAGTTGGCAATATTGGATCTTCTGCAGCTTGTTTAGCTAGAAAGCTCTTTCATTTCCTAAGTTGTTGTTATGGATCTAACCCAGGAGATGTGATAATTACAGTTGGATGCATGTATTGTGTTTCTAATTTCTTCTGAAAGAGGATGTAGTTTAATATTGTAAATAAGATAGTATGCAGATAAGGAATCGGTATAGATGTGGATATTGATATTATTATAAGTGTGATTTGCCCAGATGATTGCTTTTTTTAATTGCGTGTAGTTCTGCTTGAAATACTGTGCATTGATTTCCTAGATGCATTTTCTGATGAAAGACTTCATCACCTCCAATGTATGCAATGAAGCTACATCCCACCATGTCTTTGATTCTAGAGCCATCAGTAAAGATATTGACATTTGCTTGTTTAGATTTGTCAGGTTTACAATTTATGGGGATACCAAAGTTTAGCGTATTTTGAAAAGGAAATTTCCATTCAATATCACATTGATTTATCAACTGAAATCTTGTTTGTATAGTGCCACCAGCTTCCACCTAGGCTTCCACCAGCTAAACCGGGTGAGGTTAGTGCTCTGTAAAGCGCATGTGCAAATCTGGCTGTTTGGAAGCTGACAATACAGCACTTCCACTCCACCACTAATATTTGAATATACAATAGAAATCTTATCTTTGTTTTTTTACATGTAGTACAGAAATTTTTAATAAGATACATAATGCGGTTATAATAAAATATTGTGCAATTATTTTCATATAATTAAAATTAATATGTATTTATTTTTTTTTAGAAACTACAAGGGAAGCGACACTTCCACCGCTTCCAATGATGGCACTCCACTGATATTTTATATTTAGCAAATTGATTAAGATATATTTTTATTAAGAATCAAATTATTTTATTTATTTAAAAATAAATATTTATAAAATATTTTTATAATGATTATTTTAAATTATTTTAAATGATTAAATATTATAAAATATTATAAAATTATTAAAATATCTATTTTCAGTTATTGATGATTTATTGGAAAAGCACAACTACTTTGTTTTTGTGGAAAATTGATACATTACAAAATGATCTATGTTGGTGGACTTTTACCATTCTTCATGGCATTGCTTGGTCTTTTATTTATGGTGGATGCCTGATAATGGATTTATATGAAATGATTGGAATAAAACAGGTAAATATTAGAATGATAGAATCAGTCAGATGTTTTAGTTAGTGTATGTTTTCTCTGTGTTGAAACTGTGCCTTTTTCTAGATTGTGTTTTAAGACACCATGAAGTGTTGACATTAAACACTAGACTTTTTCACATCCATTTTATTCTTCTATGTGCTTTACAGTCTTTAAATCAATTGTGCCAATAAGTGTTTTGGGCTGATGCTCCTCATCTGTTGGCTAGCAATATTTATCAATACATAATATTAGCAAATATCTCTTTACAAAATGTTTTCTTTTAGACAAACATTATACGTGTTCTTTACAGCAATTTTTATTCTATTGTTGATGTACATGTAACCAAAAATGCACCGTGAACTCTAAATTATTTTAAAATTTCTTAAAACCATTCAATGCTAAATTTTTAAAGATACACAACACTAAAATTTTTAATTAAAAGTTTTACATATAAGGGGCAGTCAAATGAAAACGAGACAGACTATATAATGAGCATGGCGCAGAAGTTGATAACACAGGTAGGTGTGTGCATAGAAGTGCCTTCTATTGGGAATCAGGAAGGAACAGCGTGAATGTTCACCGCTGTGCCATTTGTCCGTTAGATGTGCTCGAAGTGAGATTGGTGAGTCGTGTGCATCTGACATCACTATGGAGGCTGGAAAAGAGGAACAGCAAGGTGTAGTGCATTTTTTGACTGTGGAAGGAGTGCCAGGAAGTGAAATTCATGCCTGAATGTTTGCTGTGTACGGCGAACACAGTATGTCATGTGTGCATATGTTTGAGTGGAATAAACAATTTCGAGAAGGTCGGGTGTCATTGAAAGACAGCAGTCAGCCAGGACAGGCTCATCATGTCATTACCCCTTCTGTCATTGCTGTGGTGGATTCAGTTGTCAGAACTGACCAATGGCGGTCAGTTGAAGACATTTGGCTTATGTTTGGCATTAGTCATGGTACCACTCACGCCATCTTGACACAGCATCTGAAGGTCTGGAAAATCTGTGCACAGTGGATTCCCTACAGCCTGATGAAGGAGCAGAAGTTGAACAGAATGTCAACATTATTGCAGCACCTGGAACAGTATCACAACGAAGAATATTGTTTCCTGTCCCGATTGTTGCGGCAGATGAAACATGGTGTCATCATTTTGAGCCAGAGAGCAAGCATCAGAGCAAACAATGGAAGCACATGGATTCACCCCACAAAAATAATCCAAAGCCATACATGCAAACTCCAGGAATGTCATGATGACCTTTTTCTTTGACTGCAAGGGCCCACTGCTCATTGACTTTCTGAAACACAGTGCCACAATTAACGCATAGCGATATGTGGAAACTTTGCAAAAATTGAAGCATGTCATCAAGTCCAAATGCCCAGGAATGTTGACGGATGGCATCATTCTGTTGCAGGATAATGCACACCCTCATGTTGCCAAGGTTGTTTCAACTACACTTTTGGGAAGCCCTTACACATCCTCCATACAGTCCCGATCTCTCTCCATGCAATTTCCATATTTTTTGAGACATGAAGAAAGATATTCATGGCTGTCGATTTGCTTCGGATGAAGAGGTGCATGCCTGGGTGCAATCATGGTTCCATAGACAACCGCAAACATTTTTCCATGAAGGCATTGATTGTCTGTCTCACAGTGGGATAAATGTATTAACAGTTATGGCGATTACTTTTGAAATAATAAACAGTTTACTTACTTTATTCCCATCTGTTTCATTTTCATTTGACTGCCCCTTATACATCAAAGTAACTTTTCATTTAGAGAATTACTTACAGAGTTGTACAATTTATGTACATCGATTGGCACAATTGGCTTAAAGACTGTAAAGCACATAGAAGAATAAAGTGGACGTGAAAAAGTCTAGTGTCTAATGTCAACACTTCATTGTGTCTTAAAACACATCTGATTATGTTGTTATTGTGACTTTTATTCATAACGAACAAATAAAATAAAGTAAAATATAATTTTTTTCAAGAAGTCTAATGCTTTGTTTACTAAGCATTTTTTTGGAATTAGTATAAATTATCTTTTTAATACTTGTAGTTAAGCTATTAAAAAGTAGCAACAGATGTTTTATCAGATTTATGTATCATTATTTTATGTTTTTATTATTTATAAAATATTCTATGGAAAAACCAATGCAAAAATTTAATTGAACAATTTTGATAAGAACACTAGAACATTATCAATTTTCTTAGTTATTTGACATAAATGTGATTGTAGATTAAATATAAAAATATTTTTGATTTAAAAAAACTTGTTATTAAACAAATGTATCAATATAATACTCATATTTAATATTAACAATATTAAATACAAGGTCAGAAAATATTACAAAGTTTAGTAGATGTAACCATTGGTTTAAACAAGGGTGTGACTAATATGAGTCTGTAAGTGTCAATCAATTGAAGGTAGTAATATTTTTACTTTATTTATTAAATCAATAATGATCAAATATAATAGGAAAATAATAATTTAATGATATACAGGGGGGGTGCAAAAGTACGTATACAGTTGTTATTATGGAAAAAAAACATACAAGGAGAAAATAGAAAGAAAAAACATTTATTTTTATGTACAAATTACATCACAAATTAGGAATATGAACTAATAAAAGATAATAAGAATGAACACCAAACATTTGTATTTCTCAGATTATCAACTGTATACCTACTTTTGCACTTCTCATATATATATATATATATATATTACTGTAAAAGTCTAAAATATCTGGGCTTTTAACAAGAGATGATGATAAATATTGGATTAGTGAATACTGATTAGCTCAGGTAAAAATTTATTCATATGCATTAATTTAATATTTCTGTTGTTTTGTAATCTACTTAAAAATATAAATTAAGAAAATGAAAGTTTTATTGTAATGATATTTATTTTATATTTTAAAATAAATTTTGTATGAAATTTGATGAGAAGAGTGTAGATGAATAAATCATCTATTATACAATTATTATTATTTTTTTTTGTTTATGTAAGTCTTTTAATGCAGCAGAATGATTGACATAATACATAGCAGATTTTATGAACTTTTAATTGAATTAGTGAATAAGAAGAAATACAATAATTTTTAACTAATGAACAATATAAGACTTTGTTAAGTGAAGTGAAAGATGCAAAAATCATGGCCTGTAAAAATATATTTACTATGGAATTTGATGAGATATGATGTTCTCAACATCAGGGGTGAAGAGAAACTATTAACATGAGTTGTTCCACATGACTTAGAAAAGAAGAAATTCTTTACTATGTTTGTTTTGATGAACTGTTTAATATGATACACAAAAGCTCACATTGCTATTGGTCAGGGTGGAAGAACTCAGTGGCTATGAAAGTGAATTGCAAGTATAAGAACATGACTTTTGAATCTATTGTTATAATGTTATGTGACTCTTGTCAAAAGAAACAAAAAGCATTGAAAAAAGGTATTGTGGTAAAGTATATACTATACAATGAAATGAATTCACAATGCTAAATTGACTTAAGTTTGGTTTAGTGTCATGTGGGTCCTGATAGAGAGTGACTTGCTTGCAAACAACTAATTAGCAAGCCAATCCAATGTGTCAGCATTCGTATTGGTATATCAGGATCATTTGACAAAATTTGTTATTCTCTGAGCATCAAAATCAGAAAGGGCTGGGGAAGTTACATATTATCTTTTGTATATTTTTATAGTTTTTAGCACATCTAACATTCTTCATTTTGATAATGATAGAGAGTTTTTTAACTAAGCTATCCAATGTTTATGAGGCATGTTGGCTGACAGAAAGGTAGTTCATGGAAAACTGAGGTGCAGCCTGTCTCAGGGATCAGTTGCACTTGCAAACCAGGACATTGGAAATATGTTATCCACCTGTATAGAAACAAATAAAACATCAAAACGGTTTGAAGTCTTGAAGTTTGTTGGAACTCACCATATGAAGCTATGTTTTGTGTTCTAATGAAAATAGGTATTGCCAGCTCAGTAAACAATGTAGATGCTGAAGATTTGGAAAAAATTTTAAATGCTGGAAGTGGAGGAATGCAGCTAGTGTACAGTTGGAGCAGATGACAAAGCAGCACATATCAGCAGTTGACATTAGTTGAAATTGAGACAGCAGACCCACCATTATCTCTGGAGAGCTGTAATATGACTTTGGCAACTTCTAACAGGGCCAAAAAGTGATGTTGTTTCAAAAGACTTCCAAAGAAGACTTTGAAATGCAAGCAATAAAAATGAAAACAGCCTTTTTTAACAAAATTCCAAAACCTTCAGTTGGACAGAATGTAAGAATTAAAGTATCATATGTAGACTGAGCAAGGATTGATGCAAAATCTTTAGATCACTGAACATCACTTCAGTTTCCAGCAAGCATGTAGAATGTATCAATTTACAAATGTTTTCAGAATCTATCAATAAAATCAATAATAGCTCTGGTCATAAATATTGATGATGATGGATTTTATCAACTTGGCACTAAGATCAGAAAACTGAAGTTATTATACACTAGAAATCAATTTATATTGTTCAAAGAGAATTCTATCAGTATTGAAAAAATAGGAAAAGAAGTTAGTGTATGGGAAGTAGTTAGCAAACTACCTTTCATTGGAGGCCAAGGGTTCAAAAAGTGTAATTGTTTAAAAAGTGTTCAACAGAAAAATGGTTTGATACAAATGCAGGCTCCTTTCTCATTTCTATTTGATAAAATTGAGAATGTAAAATCAAATAGAAACAGAAAAATATGCAAATTATTTTTGTCGTGAAATTCTAAATGTCATAATAGTCAACCTTGTTGCAACAAGTAAATTTTTTTTATCATCACAGGAATTATCATTTATTAAATTTGTTTTAAAACTATAAAAAAACTTTTTATTCCTTCTTACTATGACTTAGTGTTTATTTATTATAACCAGGGCTTGATATAGGAGTATTTGTTCACTAGTGGCTACTATATTTGCTAACCTGGAAGCTAAAAACTACAGCCATACAAGTAATA